GTTGTTTGGTTCCTTCTCCGCTTGAGGTTCCGCTCTCGAAAGCAATTTGTACTCATGACAGTTACAAACAGACTAAAGTACTGGACAATTGGCATCAACTGAATCACAGCCTTGTCAAGACTTCCTGTCAGTGGTGGAGAAGTTAGGCAAACAGCTGATGCTTGCCCAGTAGTTGATTGCAACCGCGAATAAGAGGGGAATCATGAGCTCCTGACGAGATGTTCTCAAATTACTATCAAAAAACCACGTGTGACCTTTTCCTTTTGTGCATTTGTGTAGAAACGGGATCTTTTTTCTATCATTTCCACCTTTTCCTTAACATCACAGAAATGCTTGAACATTTGACCCTACACACAGGCATGAGGCGGAAGAGAGACAGAGAATATAGCATATGATAATACAGAATATGCTATTGTATGTGTAAGCTATGCAATGCTGCAAGGAACCTTTCAGGTTATTTGGCGGAAGTGCTACCGCGCTTGCGGACCAATACAGCAGGTGTAGTATAGGAGTGCTGAATTTTCAGGGACCCCAGCGTTTATACAGATGTAGTGATTTTGGTCTTTCTCCAATTTTTTGGCTATCATGAATCATGCAACCCTTGTTCCCTGATACGTCCGCAGGCAAGATTTCCAAGGGAGAGGCACGGTTTGGGCGAGAATGCTGAGGATACATGTGATGTGCTGAAGATACAATGTCATGAGTCATGTCCTCAAAAAACAAAACAACGTGCAGTTCAATGGAATGGAAACAACCAAGGACCAAGACTTCATGCATGAACACAAAACTTCTGGGGAAAGACTGAACGACTGAGTTGCTTTTCATGTCGGGTTCAGCAGCTGTCGGCTGAGCAACGTGTCTTCTGGTGGTGGAACGTGTCGGAATGTGGGAGAAGTCCGACAATTCTGGTGAAAGGTCCTTTGGACGTCACAAGGTCGGTTGGAATGTCTTGGTTTCACTCTGGCAGATTGGTGCAATTAATGACCCTGTTGAGGGCAGCTCAACATATCTCAACCACATCCCTAATAACACCCCGTTGCCGCCGTGCTTGGCAGCAATCATACTAGTTCTAGTACTAGTTCTATATGTGCAGCACAAAGCTTGCGAACCCAACCTAACCTAGTAGCTTCTTGTTCCTAGTAGCGTCCTTCCTCCTAGTAGCGATGGCCTCCAACCTACTTTCGCTGGCCTCACCTAGTAGCTTCTTGTTCCTAGTAGCTTATTCAGTTTGTTGTGCCTTTTCCTTTTGACAACATGTCCCTCAACTCTCAGGCCTGCATGCGTCGGCCTACGAGCTTCCAGGAGTGAGCTGTCATGAAAAATACCCGGACATTGCATGTACTCGTATCATCTAATTTGTTCCATATTGCTTTTAGGAGGGGTCAATGCAGACATGGGACGTGGAACCACGAGCGTATATACAAACCGGGATTTGCCAGTCAAGTGACATGTTCCTGCTTTTTCACTGGTCGACCGGTCACCAGGCACCATGTGGGTTTTGCCAGTCAAGTGGGGTGACGCGTGACCCTTATTCTGGTGGTGGTGTGACCCTCTACGGGTTGGACGCTTGAAGATCATTTGTTTTCTCAATAAACCCCTTCTTGCACTGGACCTGGTTGAGATGCGGACCGGGCGGTTTCTTTTTTCGTTTTCAAGAGGTCGCTTTTGGGTGCACAGGGATTTCAACTACATAGTGATTTAGTTCTCTTCTTGAGTTCGGGTCAATAGCGGAGCTTCGGTCTTCTTAGCTAAGCACATGCTCCAGCTCCAGCTCCCAGGTGTAGGGGCGCGGGGGGTGCTTGAACCCTCCTCAACATCGGACCTCCTCACGTCAGACCTCGGGTGGGGCCACTATCTTTCGGAGCTCAATGAGTAGGGCCGGGGCGGGAAGAGGTGAAATTGGTTTCAGATGGTTTCACCATTTCACCTTCTTTTTCTCCGACTCCAGGGACGAGAGCATCATGGTTGGACAGGGCACTGGTCTTACACTGGCTTAGCTTTGAGATGAAACTGTGCTGCAAAGGCACATGTTAAGTGTGCAAGCTCTTCACCATGTACTGGCTGATACTCACCCAAGCGTTGTGCAAGCTGCTGCCGTCTCAGAGAACGCTGGCCACGCCCAAGGAGAGATCACCGAGCGTCAACACAGAGGGCCGGAACCTGATTGCAAGACGCCACGACGAGGCCTGTGGAAAAATGCCGCATCCTTCTTATGTCAAGCTTAGCGATGGCTCTGGGCCACATCGTTTGAACTCCATTGTCGAGCATCCATGTGTCAGTGCTCGCTGTGTCATGAGGTCATTGCTTGGCTCTTGAGGATGGAGTTGACTCGCAAAGTTCCAAGAATGAACTTTTTCCCATGTCTCGTGCCGATTTCTAGTTTAACCGTTTGGAACTCTGGACAGGCCTCGGTCCGCGCTGCAGGCCGGCATAGCAAGAGAGATCTTGGAAGCGAGAGGGCAGATGCAGAACGAGGACATAGGACTTTCAAAACAATGAACACATGTGAAACCAATATAATATGTTATATATATTATATATATGTACAGATACACACTCTATAATTATATAAAATTGCATGCTGCATACTACACAGACTTGCTGTGTTTTCGATCCGCATTACATGAATCAGGTTGTTCACGTCAGTTGCATCAAGTTATTCAATGGTAGCTTTGTGGAAAGAAATGATCATGATGTGTGTTTTTTTTGAACTTAGTTTCACATCAAATTCCATATGCTTGAAGCTACCGTCAGAAACTTGATGAGAAACTTACTGAAAAAAAAAACATATTTGTGAATTCACAGGGCAGTTTTTCCTTTCAGCTGGTTGTCCTGCGGTATTTGTAGTTTTTACAGTTGACATTGGTTTGCGAATAGAATAGCATACCGAGTCTATGTTTCACCATGTGCAATGTGTGCGTCACTTTGTCAAATAGTGTGACATGGTTCACATTGGACTGTAAGCACTCATATTGCGCCGGTTTGGGGTGAGTTTGGAGAGTAAAGACATGTAAAGACACTTGTTTTTCGGTTGGTTTTGGAACCAGTTCAGTAAAACATGAATATGAATCCGGTTGCCTTCAGTAAAATCAGGCATCTACTATTCATTCATATTCATGTTTTACCAGTTGGTTATTGCGCGCTTCCCATGGACTGTAGCTTAGCTCCACATGGGGACCGAGGGTGACCGAACCCTGTGGAGCAGTGCTTTAACGCCGGGTGCACCGGTGGCCGGCCTGCGAGGCGAACGCAGCCGCAAACGGAGCGCCGCAGAGGCGAAGCCGAAGGCGCTCCGCGCCGCCGCGCTGCGGGGTTTGGAGCTTCGGAGGGTGTGACGAAAGGCGGTGCTTCGAATCACATCTTTAGAACATAGTGGCTTTGGGGTCGAGCTTGGGGTGTCATCACAGGGAGCCAGAGTTCGCGAAGATACCGGACTTGCAAGGTCTAGAGTCTAGAGTCAATATTTTTAATGTTCCTTCACCCCACTAGTCTCAAGACTAGTTGAAGGCTTTGTGGCCCGACTAACGTTACTTCACTGGCCTCTTCGCCACCCTGGAGCCCGTCGTGTTGTGATCCGTGACCCTGCACAAATCGGATCCCACCGGTGAGAGCGCGTCTCATTCGCCCCAAAACCATTCATGTTTGCATGTTACTGATGTTTGCTCAAAGTGCAACGCAGAGACATAGTCCACACAAAAGCGCCAGCCTTTTGCACGCCTGCAGCGGATTCGGATCGCGAGAGTCTTTCCTCGCCGAGGAGAAGAAGCAGAGCTCGGATGAAGCGGATGCTAAGAAGGCCAAAACGGCCCAGAAGTCGTTCCGCAGCAAGACAAAACAAGGTTTCGGAAGGGGAATTGAAAGGCCAATCATATAGGAATCAAGATCAATCAACCCTCAGGAAATCATATAGGAATGATTCGGAATGACTACATACTTATAGTCTTTTCCATGTGAGGCAGGTGGGAGGGATGCCTTCATCCAATGTTCATCGCTGCTCGGAGGTTAGGGGTGGTCCAAATCAGCATGTGTTTGACAGGACAGGAGGAATGCATGTGAATTTCATGAAAAACGTTTTCCACGCAAACTACAGTCATGCAGAGATGTTTGTTCCACTATAACAGCTGATGGTTCCACGTTACAACCTCAGTGTTTGGAGTGTCAAACTCGTCAGGTCCGCCAGCTGTCTGCAGTTATATCGATATCCATCGACCAATTGGGATCCCCAAAACAGCTTCGTGAGAGCCAGGGCTTCCAGCTTCCATGCAGACGTTGTTCTTAGCTCTCATTTCGATGAGGCTGAATTGGAGATTCAACATGAGACATGACCTGACACGATCTTGTTAAAAGCATGGGTTTTGTTGCTGTGGCTTTGCGTCGAACTTGGTTCCAAGCTTCTTTGGAGTGGTGGATACGGTCAAGAGGTACAACGGTACAACATGTTCATGTTAAAATGACACTTGTTACGGTAATTCGGTCGTCACAGAAACATGAGTGCCCGCAACCGCGGTAATAACTTGTGAAGGAAGGGGAATGGCAGGTAGCAGTACGAGCAACTGTGGTGAGCAGCAGTTCCAGCCACAGTCAGATGCAGTCAGACAGAGTTTTTACGGATTTCTTGCAATCGGAATAGGATTGGGACGCATGTTGGTACGTAGGCTTTCTTGAAGTCCTGACTCTTCTAACCACGGTTCCAGCATGGCTGCATGACCTCCCGCAAAATCCGTTCGACCAGTGGCCCAGACCAGTGATCGCAGTGTCCGGTGTGTGGCTCAACATGGATAGAAGCAGCTGGAAGATGGTGCCGCAAACTCATCACCAAAGAAATGGAACAAGGCCTCTAACAAATCACCCATTGTTTCGAAGATTGAAGGCAAGGTGCAAAGCAAGGTGCAAAGCAAGGTGCAAAGGTCGTTCATCAGCGGATGTATGACAATGAACATCATTACATAACATATCATTACTATTCACATCTATTGTGGGTCCCCCCACAAGTGAAGGCTCACTGTGAACCAGTCCTTTCGTCTTCCGCCATTCCGCACTCCCGGGAGTGCGCCATGGACGACTCGTGCTAGGACTCAGATCTCGGACAGACATGGACAGACCCAGTTCAACTGTTACAGTCCCATTCGATCATATGTTGATACATGTTGATACACTCCCTGGAACTCACATGGAAGTGGACGGCATTTTTTCCTTGGAGTCTTCCATGTTCCTCTACAAACAGTAGTGTTTTTGTTGGGCCTTTCTGAAGTTTCGGAACGCCCCTTATTGGGTTCCAACGACCGGACTCCGGTTTCCGACGTCAAACCACCCATCCAGTCGTCCTCCGGTCCTCCCGGCTGCCCGATGGGTCCGACGGGTCTGCCGTTCATGGATTTCTCGATGCAGGAGTCCAAGGCTCAAGGGCTCGTTCGGCTGAAAAACTGTCACCTCAGATCTTTCTTGCGCCTTTTATATACTTGGAAAAGACAGAAACCAGTCTTGGGAGGAATCATGTATAGTACGCAATCCCTTGTGGTTTGGTGCTGGCTCAGACCCGCCACACCATAGTCCCGCCAAAATCAGGTCTACATAGCAGCTATTCTGCCGGTACACAAGTTGTCAACCTTCAGCTTAGGCATGCAACAACCGCAAAACATATAACAGTAAGTGTAACAGATTGTAACACTATAATTATGAGCAAATATAACTCTCTATATACCATTTATGTACCATATATATTAATTTGATATATATATATACACGAGGTCCCCCAACAGGCGTCCACTCAGAGCTCCTTATAGGTTAAGGGGCGTTCATTGGCAAATTGGACACCTCTGGTGGGTTCAGGTATGTATACATTGATATACTGTAATTATAACAAAAATATTGCAAGAATCCTGGAGTAGATCGAATCTGAACCAATCAAAAATACGGACCAGTTTCCTTTCTTGTTTCTTGATTTTCCATATTCTATCCACTCCAGGACGCCTGTTTTCTACGGCCCCACACCTCTCGGCCCCGCTCGCATCGAGGCCTTGCAAGCCGCATGAGCGACGAGCGGCCGCCGCGCGAGCTGAGAGAGCCGCAGGTCGGGGGGACGTGTTGCCGGAAGGGGGTAAGAGTCATCCCTGGAGAAGCTTTGTTGTGGAAAAAGGGTGAGAATGGATTTCTCATTCTGCGGAAGATGTTCATTTTCTGTTTCAAATGGTTCCTGGACAGCAGATCCAAGGGTGGCGATAGCTTCTTGGCACCGAGGTCATTGAGGGGTGGGGTGTAACATATCCATCAATGGCCTGTCAAATACATCATCAAGGCGCATGATGTACCTCTCTGCATCAATCAGGCAGAGAGGGCATCTCTAATGCGTCTAATCAGGCAGAGGCGGCCTCTCTTGAGGCCTCAGCGGCGGTGAGGGGAGTTTGTTTGAGTGTGTTGGGAGAGTCTGCACTTGCAGGTCTTCCCAAGCCCAGACCATCCATGGGACTGGCCTATGAAACCTACGGTGTATTTTTTCCTGGGGTCAAGGTAGGCGTATATGATCACATATGCCAGTCCCATGGATGGGACATATGGAAGCGGGCATCAGGTTGCTTGTGTGAGTTCAATGAGGGCATCAGTCGACTGGACCGAGTCAACGTGGCCGCTGTCAGGGTCTGGGAGTACCTTTATACTTATGACTCATGACCCTATGAAGAAAAAACACCTCGAATGTCACGGAACACGGACATAGACCACAATGTCACCACTCGATTCTTTTTGTTTTTGCATGTTTTTGCAGAACATCCTTTAATGGGAATTTCACCGGGCAATGTCCTTTACAGTTCTTTGAACCGGGCAATGTGCTCTAGGAAGTTCACCTTTATGGCACCGAACGGGCACTCGAAAAGTTCTGGTGGAACGGTTATCGTTCCGTCGTTCCGTGTCTTCTTCTCATGTAATTTCCTGATGAGGTCAGCAGCGGGAGCTTCAAATGCTGGGCTTGATGGTCTGGGTTCCAATGTCGTTGCGACAGACTTCTTCTCCGCAGAGGATGGGCGTCGGGGCTCTGTGCACTACATAAGTTTATCAGAAGTCTCCTGAATTTGTGTCTTCAGATTGGTTTTGTGTCCTGTACCTCGGAAGGATTGTTGCGCCCGCCAAGGGAGAATGCGGACATAGACATCACCGATGCTGTAAATATTGTGCTCATGTCCCGTGACTAATCTTGCAGGACTTGAACTAGCCCAGTCAACCAGCTGGCCCCACTGGGTGGGGATCAAGAGCAAGCGTGCTAGGCCTTCTGTTTGGGTTCACATCCCAAGCAGGACCCAGACCAAGAGTCTGCATGTGCCTCATAAAAAGCATGCAACAAGAAATCCTTACGGTAATATGATGCAATAGGGATCCATGGAAATACGTTCTTTCCACCGGCTTTTTTATATATATATATATACATACTTTCTTTCAACGTGGGTTCGCGCAAGGTTTCAGCTACTTTCGGAGCATGTGGTTTGATTCACACTGAATCGATGAGAGTCGAACACATAGAATCTCACAAGCAGAGATGTGACACAAAGTCAAAGGCAGAACATATGATACATATTTTGTTTGCTTTCCAGACTTAATTGACTTCTTAGGCGGACGGTGTTTTCAAGCACTCCAGGTCAGAAACTGTCCGTCACTCGCTCCCGATCCAAACAGGGATCTATCTAAAAGGACAGACCTCAAGGCGTTTTCCTGGACAGACCCGTGGACCAGACAGCCGCGGGGGAATCCCTGGCGTCACGGATCGGTCGAACGACCGAGGGGTTGACTCGTTCGGTCCGAAACGGACCGAGGCCATGGAAGTGCGCGCCGTGTCCGCGCAGCTGCGCCATGTGGGGCACAGTGCCACCACCGAGGCGCTCAGTCCGCAAGCGGTTTGGAATGGCCTGCAAATCACTTTTTAGAGAAAGGCCTGCAAGCTAACCATCATCATCCACTGTTACAGGTAACAGGATAGACCCAAGACATGGATGTGTATATATAATATATTATATTTATGCATTATTAGACTTGATTTTGCAATGCAATTGGGCGCATCCTGGAACCAACGATTGAAAAGCTCAACTGATTGAACCATAGTCAATAAACTGGCATGTCGTCCGCACCTGTTGTATGTGTCATGTGGGGCAAAGACTCTTCCAAACCCTTCTGGCTCTGTTTGCAACTGCTGAGGAAATGATCAAACTTCATTGACTGCAGGGAAAAGGATGTATTTTTAGACTAAGTGGCTTTACAATGGGCACCCATACCCATGAGAAATTCTTGGTTGGGTGCAAGAGCATGAGTTTTAGCATTCAGCAAACGTGACGGGAAGCTTCAGAAGTCTTTAGTAACAAAGAGCTACTAGGTTGGAGGCAATCGCTATTAGGTTGGAGGCCATCGCTACTAGCAACAAGAAGCTACTAGTAAACATACTGTATGTGTTTCTTCCGAGCTCCCAAATAAACTGACACCAACGGATCCCACTGGTATGTGGATGGGATGCTGAGCAGTGCTGCTAGTCTACTAGTTTACAGGGCGGTGAGCCTGGGCAGCTAAGTACTACTTGATCGACACTCACATGGTTCACACATGCGAGGCCCTATGGATCCACTTTCTGAGGTACGGTGATTGGAGACTCTTTTGTCTAGGGGGAGGGTCCAGTCGTACCTTTTGAGAAGGTACGTGGATCTCTGAAAACATGTAGTATACAACTGATGTTTAAACATGTTTAAACTCTGTTCCACGACCCTCTCCCAGTCTTGTCGCCTCAGGCTGCGGTGACAAACGCCCGGGAAGTACATGCCTTGCTGAGCCAGGCTGGGATCTTATCCTTAGCGCCACAACACCATGTGGGTGGTCTCAAGAGGTGAGGGTTCGGCTTCCGATCTGATCAATACGAACCACCAAACATGATCCAAACATCAATTTGGTGCCATGTGATCCAATATGTTCCCAAATTCCCTCGTGCGGCCGTCCTATTCCTCCACCCCACATGGTAAAGTTGACGTCGGGATGTCGGGCAGGACCGCGGGAACAATCAACACGTGGCTGGATGCCTGGGATACCCTGCCCTGATTCAAGATGGTTGGCTCGCCTTGATTGTAAGGATAACGTTATATACGTTATATGCTTTATCCTACTGGGTTGGTCTCGGACTTCCTTTACAGTTTTTGGGACCAGACACATGGACACACACACACACGCCTTATTGTTGGCTTGGATTCCTTTCGCTGGTTGAAATTCATTGTACAATTGATATATTTGGATATATCACACGTTCATTTGTCATCATACATTCATGATGTGTAAGTACACATGTGCAGTATAGAGCAATATACAGAGCATATCGCAGGTACATATATACCCGGAAAAAGCGGCGCCGAACCCAGATCAACTCATGGTATAGAACATGGCCATATCTGGGACCGTTGACAAAATACATAAACAACACACCTTCTTTAAACCAAGCAAACATTTCAACAGAATTGAAATTTCTTCTGAAACTCTTCCATAATTTCTAAGAATAGCGTCACGTGACGCCAAAAGCCAACTTCTCCAACGCTGGACGCACACTTTAGATTGAACAATCAACAGAAGGGAATTCAATCTAATCAAATTCAATTCAAATCAATCCGATTCTATCTTAGCTTGGTATGGCCTTTCAATAAAAACAAATATTGAAGATTCTTGAAGGGAATTCACCTTAGATGACGCCAGCGTGGATCATCTTCCATCTCAGAGTTGGACCCACGAAATTGGCTTTGACTCGAATGGTGGAACCTGGAACCAGTACCTCAGTACCCCTCAGTTGGGTGCGTCCGGACCTGCAAAGACCCCTGAAATCGCACCCCAGGCTGGGTAGACGATCGGGGGTTCTTTGCAGGGGGGACGGTCTCCTTACCCCACCTATCTGGCATCGAAATTGGTTGAATTTGGTTCGCTTGGTTGGTGCCGTAGCGATTCGCAACGTGTTTTTGTGGCGCCCATACGAGCCCGCGCCACACAAATTGTTTCGCCCAGGAATTGTTTCGCCTTCGGCGACACGAGAAGACTCCACACCGACCGACTGGGTGGTAAAAGAAAGAGGACATGTGAACGTGTGGTTACGTGTGCTTCACCTTCCTTCTTTTTGCAACGATTGCAGGGTTTTCAAGATTACTCAGCTGTTGCTGGTCGCCAAGTGTGTTGATTTAGACCACAAGCAACATATGAGCCCCACACTTCTTCGTGGGCAAGTCGCACCGCGACGGCCAAGTTCATTTCATGGGTCAGCCGTTCGGAAAACCAAGGCTGTTAGCTTGTTGATGCCATTTCACTTTGAACAGAAGCTAAGGCAACAGTACGCCGCCCACCCGTCTGAGTCGTTCAAAAATTAGTACGCTCCGTACGCGTCCTGTCAGCGTCCTGCTCAGTGGAATCCGTCAGGATCTCTCGCCCAAAGAAGAGAAGCAGAGGCAAAGCCTGGGAGTGGGACGGGGATTCTTTCTGAAGTAGAGTTTGAAGCAAGATTCGGTCTTAGCTGGGCGAGATGAGCATGCAGCATGCTCTTGATCGTTGTCACGCCGTACAAATTTCTTGATCATGGTAATAAGCTGCTTGGCCCCTGCCGGTATTGGAGCGCCAGAGCTTTCCCCTTCTTTCCTGTATATGATTGTCCGAAAGGTGTGTATGAAGGCAGATCTTCAGGTCTGAACGGATGGCGTGTTTTGTTTTTCTGTGTTTGTGCCAGCTATGGGCCTATAGGTCGGTGGGCTACAAGTTTCATAGATCACAGCCACAGGATTTATCTTTTTCGCACCAGGTCACCAGGTCAGACCGAAGCTTTGATTCTGAAATCATCCCTTCCCTATATATCCACACTGATTCGCATACTGAGAAGGTGATTGGAGACTCGTTTAGGCGTTTTAGGTTTGGAGGCTCCAAGTACCATTCTGAGAAGGTCTGTGGGATTCCCCACAAGGCCTTCAATTCTGATAATAGAGACATCATGTTGCTTTTCGCAGAATCAGAGTTATCCATGGTATAACAAGTTCGTCACTCTATTCTTCTGCACTCCTCCAACGACCGGACTCCACACACCTCCAACGCTGTCTCGTTTGCTTCGATCTTCGGATGCTTCGGATGCCGAAATGTCCAAGGAGATCGCTGGAGACAGATCTACCGTCCACCGCTGGCTCCGCGCGTGACTCGTTGGGGAGGCTCAGAGGTGGTCCGGTCGATCCGCGAGGCGTTGGTTGCATCTGGAGGTCCCGTTCGTCAATATGCGCCGAGATCCATACGTATATTAACATAGTAACATATATATATATATAATATATATAGACTGTACATAGATGGATAGGATAGGATAGGATAGGATAGGACAGGACAGGACAGGACAGGATAGGTAGATAGATAGAAGATCCTTTCGGCAAAGATTCTCGCCTGTATTGGGAAAAGCGGCTCTTCCCTTCCTGAGGCGGAAATCAACTTTTTGCTGCGAAAGTGTTTTTGCTGCCGCAACTTTTTTCTTTCAAGAACAATGCTTTGGGGTTTGCATAGGCGGGCATTTCTCACTGAAACGGTCACCTCAATGAGAACAAGCATTGCAACACTTAAGTTTCCACCTCCACATGGGAGCCTTCCGCAAGTGCAGGAATTAAGCAAGGCTGTAACTCTTTGAAGTTCGCGGTTGGTCAAGCCTGCATCCCGATTGGCATGGCCATTGAGGTGCGATTGGCATAGTACAAAAACAACATTTGTCGCAATTATGCTACACCTTTGTTGCAATGGTTGCAGCGTGCACTGAAAAGTGTTGATTTTGCTTCTTCTTGCAGCTTTGGGTTTTCCAGGGTGACAGTTCGACCAGACGTGCAGCAAGGTTGTTTTCTTGTTGGTCTGGGTAGCCGTTTCGAGGTTCAGTCTACAGACAATCCTGTACACTCCTGTGGCACCACCGGCTCCTGCCCAATGTGGTGTGGCGGAGTTGTTGTGGCTCGGATGGTCGATCAGGAGAACTTACAGAAAGTCAGGGTCCACTGTGCTCAAGTCTGATCCAGGTAGGGTTGCTGCAGAGGTTCCAGAACGCACCAAAGATGCGGCAAGTGGTCCTCCTCAAGGGGCTGATGGCAAAGTGTGCCAGCCAAAACCCTGCACCAGTTCATCCAAACACATGCTGACACCCAGCGAGTGCAAAGAGACCGTTGGATGTAGCCCAGCACCTGCATGAGCTTGAAGCAACACAGAGCCATAGAGTCTTGCGAACTTAGCGTAGCTGAAAGCTACCAATGGCACAAGTCAACCGCACCGTGTTAGAAGCAAGCCTTTCAGTGCGTGACCTCTTGCCCAACCAGGTTCTTCTGTGGAGCGGCTATCATATATCAGCGAAACCTGACGCGCGCAGAAGCTGCAGACATGTTCCACGGAACACGGAACTAGTAGAATGGAAATCGCTCCTTGGGGGTGCATCTGTGCATCATTTTCCTTGTTTTACCGCAAGGTGGGCCGCATTTCAAGTCCTATGATCTTTGCGGAGCTTGTTGGGTTGAATTTCTGTGAGGATATGCTTCAGTCTTTCTGAAGAAGTTGAAGGGTGACTAAGTGAGTTCTTGAAGAAACCCTGCAATGGTTCAAAGCTGGGCAGCACAATGTTTCTCAAAACCGTAGTGCCTCAGGGCTTTTGTTTTGTATTTGGCCCGGTTGGCCATTGAAGCAGTTTTGGGGATCAAGTTGATTAGGAGCTTGAGTTTGCAAAGCCATTGCGCTTCCACAGGTGGTGTTGGACATGATCGCATCGGCAGGGTGCGAATGGATCCATGAACGCGAGGAGAGAAAGGTGTCTTCCATGGTGAAAGTTATTGCTGGAAAAGGAGAACTTAGCAAGGCTCGCAATGCCAGTGGAGGCGAGGGTGGTCTTGAGAAAATTGGTTGGAGGTTGGCTAAAGCCTTGCATTTGGGGTGGTTTCATTGCAGTGCTCCTGTTTTTGAAGCAAGAGTTGATCCAAGAGTTTGAGGACCGTAGCAAAAAACTAAGGTCCAGGGAAAGCTTTGTAATTATTAGGGTTTACGTAGCAGCAGTGCTAGGTTGGTCGGAAATGTCAGTGGAACTCACACTGACACTGTTGCCATGTCACTTATAGACAGGAACTAATTTTGCAAACATATGCACGGTGTATCTTGCATGTAGTCCGTAGTCCAGGGCAGGGTGGCTGCTCGGGCAGGCTGTGGCAGCGTCCAAAACAGTGTCAGGCAGCTATGACCCAGAGTTCGCATTGAAGCTTCTAGCCAGTTGGATCTATGGGAGTCACACGATTGCTCAATGCATCAATCCGTGAGTTTTGTTGCTTTCTGTGCCGCAGAAGCTGGCAACGTCATATCTTTATATATATAGTCTGCCCTTTCTTGTCAACCCCAACCGTGAGGCAACTACGGGGGTACCCTCTGGGAAACAATGTGTCCAATAGGGTTCGAAATAGGACTGCTACGTTGATGCCATGGAACTAGTGCTTTGTTCCTATGCTCGCAAGGCCGAGCGCCTGAGTGCTCGCAATCCATACCTTGTTGCGCGCTGGGAGCCAGAAAGGGAACCTGTAGGCCAATAGATTCTGCCTAAGCCTGTGAGTTTACGATTTCCAAGACATTGTTTACACCATCGAATCCACAGGCGTTCCACTTTGCTGGAGGAGCACACTTTGCAGATGCTTTCGGCCATACTATCAGACCGTACCCAGCTGTTGAATGGGAAACAATAGCTGAGTGGAGAAGAGGGACCTTCTCCAGCACATGCTGGGACAGAAAGAGGTCAAAGTGTGGTAAAGATGACGTTGTGATGAAAAGATGGAGGAATACAAGTGCAGACAAATGCCATGGCCAGATTTGAAAGATGCATGGGCCTGACAAGCCCGAAGAGATGCCAACCGGGTTTTCCGGCGCAGTCAAATTTCTCCTGCGCTTCGTCCTCTGCAGTTTCTTCCTCCGACGAAATCTACAGGGTTCAATTGGAAATGCAACCATTATGTCATTATGTGTCACATTTTTTTCTGTATGTGATCGTAACCCTCTACGAGAAAAGATGTTGCGATATAGGTGCCTTTTGGTTCGGGATAGGCGATAGGGATCATGACAGGCGCGGCGATTGGACCCGTCTCAGACAAACAACTATTGTTGAAGAACCTCCAGGTGCAGATCTGGCTACTGTCATATCAAATATATGTGTGTCATTGCGTGCCTTTCCTCGTGAAGGATTCTTGTGCGGAATGAGCACCGTACAGAGTAAAACCATTCCTAAGTGGCAAAGCCCGGGGCAAAAAACACTAAAGAGGCGGACGTCTCCGGGAAAGAGTGAGAATTTACTGGCAAAAGGCGGGGTTCAATGACAGTATTTTCAAAGGGCTTGAACATATGTTGCAGCCTTTTTGTGAATGTCATGAATCAAGAAGTGTCAAAATTCGGCATTGGTGGGAGAGGGTGTAGATCTTGAGATGCAAAGCAATGCCCTTGCAGAACGATTTGCGGTATGCAGGTATAGAAGAGACATCCTGGTGGGTATTAGGCATGGAAGGCATTGAATTTGGTTTGCCGCAGAAATTACGTGTTGGCCGCTGACCTGGCACGGATGTTCCCTTTTGATATTTTTTTCCCTGGGTGCTTCTAGGTACACATGCATGAAACATCACGAAATTTATAGCATGTGGCATGCATTTTTTTTGCAGGGTGTCTCTAGCTGTATCGATTTTGGATGATTTTGGGGTCAAACGATCTTCGAAGAGATGACCAATCGACGACCGCAGCCCGCGAATTCAGCCGTTGACCCATGTTCACAACCAGCTTCCCAGGTGAATTTGAAAGGGTTTGTTGGATTTATGATGCTCACTGAGGTCCAGAACTGGCAGTGGTGACACAGGATTGCTTTCCGATGGATGCTTGGCTGATGGGTGCAGTGGTGGTGCTCGTGTTCCAGCATTTGCGTTGGGAAGACAGTGACATTGACCAAGGCTGCTGGGCATGGGACGCCTGCAAAAGCACCCAAACCATCCAAAACACAGCATGACCATTTGGGGCATGGCACCCTAGACATGCTTGACGGAGTTAGCGGTTGACTGTGATTCCGCCAAGCAGGCCAAACTCATCGTATGGCCTCAAACATTCCATTGAAAACTCGAAACCAACTCTTCCTCCTGGGCTGCCTGAGCTTGGGCCCCTCAAGGATCCCAAAGTTTCCACACCGCCAACCACCGGAACTCGTTTTTCTCATTTTAGCGCCCCTCACGGCCGAGGGGGGATCAGCAGCCTTCGTCGAGCAGAGGAAGTCTTGGAGACGACGCAAAGGGAGACGTCCCAGTGTTCCAGCTGCATTTGAGCTGGACACGGCAGATGAAGGGTGAAACATGATGAAAAGTGAGCATTGATCAGAGATGATCAGAGTTTACTTACGATGGGAGGAGACATATTGGCTGTATCATGCTGTATCATATTCATTTGGTTTATTATTGACATGACAGATCCTAATCAGCCAGCGATCCGTGGTGAATTTGTTCCGGTGGATACGGGGAGGGAAAGGACAGAAGGTGTTCGGCCACTTGTGATGGCCGTTGGTGGTTCAAAATTCATCAGCTACAGATGGTGCTGACCCTGGGCACAGAAGAGAGCGCCGGGAGCCTTTCTATGGGACCGGACTTGATTAAATTAGAATGTTAAAATACTTGCGGAACAATGAGACGTGTGTGTATTCAAAAAAACACCCCAGGACATGTCAAGAACAGGCATCCAGGTCCAGGACATGAATTTGTGTTGCCAGCCTGGGAAATTCAGGTTGGCCGAGAAGAAACCCAAACCATGGACACCCCTGAACGTTGATTTTTGAGCCCCCCAAAAGTTGTATGTTTGTTTGCCAACCTTTGAGCCTCATCCATGATATACAAAAAAACTGCTGCACGTGCGCACACTCCCGAGTGTGTGGCCAGGATCTTACAGGAGCTCCGGCGGGAGAGTTGCTGCCTACGGGAGATTTTGCAAGAAATTCTGGCTATGCCAGAGGCAGCAGGGTGGGGCAGAGGCTTTGAACATATATATGTTTTGGGGGGGCACATGTTGCGCACTGCGCGCTATGCACTATTCTCAGACGAGATTAATGCAATCGATGGAACAATGATGACTGAGTGCTTGTCCTGAAGAAATACACGCGTAGTGGGAAATTATATGGAAATATGCATGGAAAAGAACCAGTGCACAGAATAGCTGTAGTTAGGATGTAAGGGGCCTTCAGTTAGAGGAACATCCTTTTTCAAACCATCCTGAGAGGCGAGGATTTGGCTGGGAGGGCAGCCGCGTGACTTGGTCATTGGGAGTTCTGCAACTCGGCTGTCGAGGTGGAGGCCATAGCCCCAATTCCTCGAGATCGAGGCCGAAGAGCCGGGCGAAGCAGGGCGCACGTCGACAGACGAAGCCACGCAAGTCATGGGTCATGGGTGGGAGAAGGAGGCTGAAGAGGCCGAATGGCGGCCATGGCTGACAGTGTGTTTCGAGTTATTTCGAGGGTTGGGTGGGTGGATTTCTTTGCCCAGCTTCCAAAGCTCTCAAGGATTCTTTTTGAGATCCGGTATTCTTGAGAGTACGACAGAGGACGACAAACATGATGTTGATGCAAACGAACGTTGAAGAGCCATGGTGTTTGGTTCAGCTGGGGAGGCTGCAAGGGTATCGAACCACAGAACCTTTGCAACAGGGCGGTGCAGGCACAGACAAGGGCAGTTGTGAAATCTTGAAAGTTGTTGGTCTGAGACCGTAGGAGGTACTCTTTGTATCTCTTTGTACGGTTCTGATCCTAATCTTTGAAGAGGTTGGCAATGACCCCGCCCCAGACTTGCGGAAAACAACTAGGAGTCTGCACAAGATACACTAAAGTCTTCTCCAAACTGGTCCGCTTGTGCCCCAGTTGACCTCCTGGGTGGGTTCCTATCAGACTCTTAAGTCAGTTGTTGTGAGTCTTGAACGGCACTTTCAGCACCCGTGTCCAGGCGATCCTCACACCTCGCGCAGCGAGAGCGCACCCATGCCGCTCGGCGAGTGCACGCACCCATGCCGCTTCGATCCTAAACGGCGAGTCCAACACCAAGACCTCTGCCATCTCCCCAAGACGACCTCCATCTTCGCTTGGGCGAAGACGACCTCTCCAGCCTCCCCAACTCACCACCGAGCGACTGACGAGACGACCGAGTGCGGACCGTGAGGAGGGGGGTTTGACTGGGAGACCCCGACGGAGTCCAATCCGTATGGAGGAAAACGACACAGACAGAACTCGACCTGGAAGGACTTGGTTGTATCAGGAATGTAGGAGAAAGATGAAGAACAAGTGGCAAAGTCAGGAGTATTTGGGGGTGCCAGTGATACTTTGTGGGCAATGCCGCATAGCGGTTGAATCAAGTCGCATGTTGAGAGCCATGTCATTGTGATCAGGATCCCTTCTTCATCGGTAGAGGATTTTAGGATCATCTGGAGAGATGCCTGAATCAAAATATATCTGAATGCAAGGCCCCAGCAACATTTGCAAAGCCACTAGAGGCAAATCAGCACGATGTCCAGCTGCAAATATGTTAATTGCCACAAATGCAATGTCTTCTCTGTGGTACTTCGTATAGTTGCTATTTGTTGTGTTGGTACATGTTCAACTGAGTGACAGCTTGATTTGTGTAGCAAGTGAGGCACCAGATATTAGACATTGAGTCAGACCTCTCACAGAGCATCTTCATGATCACTTTGCGATTCTCACAGAAACGTTCTGAGAGAGCTGACCGCATTTTCGCTACGACCATGGCACCACCCAGCTACTGTATGGTGATTTCAACATATATATTTCAACCAGTGGGGATTACAACCATCCAGTCCTTTCAGCATGTTCAACCCAGGTGAACTGGCCGTAGCTCACGTGGGTTTCCCTTGTGTTTTGTTTCCTTGCTGCAAAGAGCTCGTCCATCGTTCTTGCACCCTTTGAGAGGTTTGAGGCCGTCCTGTCGTGTGGGGGCTGAGGTTGGTTGAGACGCAGAAGCAGAGAGCTCGGGACCAAGAGGATGTGATTTCACCGCGGCACATCATCGTGCACGATGCGTGATGAAGGGGAGAGAGAGGTGGGGGTGGCGTGGGATAGAAATTCGAGGGTGAAACTGCGAGGGTCTTTCCAGACCGGAGATCACGGCGAAGCGAAGAAATGGCCACGTCGGCGGTCACAGGTACTGGGGGGATCAATGACTTCAGCACCTTGCTGTTTTGGTGCATTTGCCTTCCAAGCAAAGACTGCAAATCAGGTCAAATGAAACATCAATGTACGGTCAGTATGACGTTGAAGGGAGGGTAGGCATGGCTTGCTTCCGTTTGTGATTATATAGAGACCTTTAAACAATCTCTTTTGAATTCCAAGTATGTATACCTTTCAATCCACATTTTACGCGCAAGAGCTTTGACTGAACAGCCAACAAGAACTGTTCAACATGGCCTTTTTGATCCTTTCTGTATCTTTTTGTATCTATTTGGAGCAATATTACACTTACACATGGTCGTTTTACTTTTCAGTAACAGAAACGACTGTTATTACAAACTTGAAACGCTGTTTGACACCATGGTTTAAAACTTGTGGCTTTAAACAACATTGAAACTGACATGGCAACGGCACAATTCAAGACATACGTGTTTTTTGTTTTATTACTCATTTCATAATGCGACCAAATTGCTTGACATGTCCATGTAATAACAATGAGTGACATCCAAAACTACCCTTATTTCCAAAAGGGACCCAGGGACCCCCAGCAAAAAAGGCAAGTTTTGATGCTCCCCGTTCCAAAGCCAAGGATTGCCCTTACTGCGGGGGAAAACTGACAGCTTAAGACCACATGGCACTTCAATCAAAGAGATAATAACTGCAGAATCTAAAGTGCATTCTCGTGGTATCTCTGACACAGAATCTCTTAAATGGCACCGTACTAGAGCTTCGTAGTACAGCATGCTGCATTGTTCACCTTGACTTGCGACTTGTCGTTGCACAGCTTGCCGTGCCGTGCTGCACTCAGGTGGCTCGCGGTCGCTCACACTCAGTCCTTGACGCGGTCGCTCGGCAAACGGGGCTTTTTCGGAGCTTCGAAACTCGGTCACTGAGGTGAGCATGAAATGAGAGATTGAGAGCCCCCCTCGGCACGAGAAAGGGTCATGGCACCTGGATGGCCCGTTGAAAACCCTGGGCCTGGTGGACCATTTTTGATAGCCTTGTCGACTGTTTAAACCTCAGTGGTCAACCGAGGTCCCCCCGATGCCAGGACCCACAGATCCACATTGGCAAATATGTGTTGAGATGAGAATCATCGATCCTTTCAGGTCCTGCTGAAAGCTGTGGGATGAGCACTGAGGGTTTTGAATTGAAGGAGCAGAGCAGAGCAACTGCTCACTTGGAAAGCACTGAGGTTGTGTGGGAAGAATCACCATAAGTAAGCAGACTAGAATCTGTACTTCTCCCGCACATGAGGTGTTTTGTTGCCACCCTATCCCACCTCCATGATTCATGTAGGAACGAGTGAGATGACAACCTAGACCACCAGCACACACTGAACACCATTAAAAGAAAATAGTCTTCCAGGACTGAGTTCACCAAGGTCTTTGTCAATGACTATTGCTACTTAGTAAAGAATAGTGAAGACATGCTGAGTCTACACGGTTATGTAGAGTACGTAGCTATCGGCACGTGGGGTATGAAATTGGCTGATCAAATTATATCAAATTGACTACTCTGTTGGATTTGTACAAGGAGTAAACAGGTTGTACAGTAGAAACTTCAAAAGATGGTCTCAAAACATCCAAGCGGAAGACCAAGACATCTTCAGAAAGTTGTTTATGGAAAGACTGTGGAAAGACTGTGACTATGATTCGCTCTACAACGACCCACAGAATGCCGCCAAAGGTCAAATAGGGGAAAGGCGCGAGTTTGGACCAACAAGGGAGGTGGCGTTGTCACTACTTCCATTCCCACACTTATCTATGAGGGTCTAGGACGAGAGTCCCAGTCCTATAAGATGGCTCCACTGTGGAAATCCCAAGGTGGTTTGGAACTTAGCCCAAACACCAAACCTAAAAAAATAGTAGATAAGTTCTCAACTCCACTCCACTCGGTCTTCTTTTCGCTTGGGGTTTTGCTTAGGCAAGGGCACCACAGATCTCCTTGCTTCGTTCTGAGAGCCACGGCAGTCGGGTCTCCTACACGAAGTCATTGTTGATGCGGCTGCCATGGATGGCGAATGCTCATTTCCAGAGTCGATGGTGAACCGCAAATCTCGCCATGATTGGAACGGGTGTGGTATTTGATGTTAGAGCGGGAAGTTTGAAAGCTGCGACTTCGAAGAGATTATAATTTATAATTGCAGTGATAGTGATAATTGCCTATTATAGCAAGTTCTTCAGAGAATCCCTGAGAAGGGAAGTCCCAAAAGGACGTCCAATAGGCTCATGTGGTAAAACCCATAGCTGCCTGCCGAAGAACGAAGCCCTGACCAGAAGCTACTTGATTCTTTCTATCAACAGGCCGAACAGGCCATGTTCAATTTCGTTCTCATTTTTGGCAAGGAGGCTGGATTCCACACTTGCACCTCCACAATTTGGCATCTTTGGCCATAAAGTTCAAGGTCCTGTTTGCCAAGTCTTACAGGCTCGGGGCAGGTCAGACCTGGTTTGCGGAAAAAGGTTCACTTGTACTATGGATGAATCATGATAAATCTCTTCGGGTATCTATAAACTGTATAATATATACTATATATATATATATATTAGATTTTTTTCTGGTTCCTGAAGCAAATCCAATCAGAGCCTCTTGCAATCTTCCGTGAGCCTTCGAGCAACCGAGGTTTGACTCGTTCCTCCGTCCACCGCCGGCTTCATCGGAGTTGGCACAACTCCTTGGAGATGCGATGTCTTGTGGCGGAAGTGGGATGAAGCGGGGGGCACAGCGGATGGCACAAACTGTTGGCTTCAGAAGCCTAGAATAGAAGGATTAAGATCAGTATTCTGTCCAACAGCACCGTCAAATTGTTCAAGGACTTTTGTCCAGGCATTTAGAGGCTCAGATTCACTTGTACTGGAGTCACGACCGAAACCAACTTGAAAGTTATATAAGCTGCCCTGTGTTTTTTCCTTCGTGTTCCCTGCTTGAATGCAGGTTTTATGGATTACTGTTTATATAGGGTTGCCCATACTGTGTTCCTTTTTCGAGTGACATACAGGAGATCAGCATGGACTGTGACTAGGAAGATAAATATGGTGTTCACTGAGAAGGGTTATGCGTCCGGCTATGCCCCCTTCTTTCGATGCCGTTTGCCTCCATGGACGTCGTGGTTCGACGGCGCGACACGACGTCGAAGCAGAGCCCCTTTTTGTTCCGAGAAATCATGAAAACCAACAGTTTGGATTCCACATGGTTTCACAGGATCCATCTTTTGCAGGACATGGGTTGCTTGATTCAAGTTGTTATGGCCAAATAGAAGGTCCAAATGGGTCCACAGCCATCTCTAAGATTTCCTGGTGGCGACTTGGAACTTTTGTGACGTGCCCTCTCTACTTGTCTTGACCACACCACATTGATGCGTTCCGGAGACTGTGACAGTCAGACTCTCAGAGATCTCGTGTTTGTCACCCACCTTCGGTGGAGCCACCAAGCGGAACGAGCCCACCTGATGCCTGCTGTCGGACCTGGGACGAATAGATACCAAGAGGATCCCCATCGGATGGGGACTTCTCACAGCTTATGGCAGGTTCCGTGCTTTCTTTCGGCCATTTCCGAGCACAGAAACCATGTGCTCATCACATCGGAGGCGGAACCGCGGAAAGGAGATCCCAGCGGTTTGCACCAGTGATGCCAAGAGAAAACCACGGTAAAGGCCAGAGATTCTCTGCTTTAGAAACAGATTGAAGGGTGCAGAGGTTGAGGCCGGGAAATACTCGCCTTTCTCCATACTTCTCCTTCCAACAAGGCTACTTACAAGACCAACTCCGCCTGATACAAGAGGCACGCGGGGCGCGCGGTGCTGCCTGACCGCCTGATCTAAAGAGTTCGAGTGTAGTTCGATTGACAAACCTTGTCAAGTTCATGCTGTGCTTCATGTCATGTTGAGTCCAAGTAGTCCAAGGCTCATTGAAATGTGTTGCTGGTGGAGTTGGCTGAAAACTGGTTTCGAAGATGCTGTTCATGTCCGTTTGTGGTTTATACATGAATGCATCTAAATGACATATATTGATATATGATGTGTTTTAATGAACGATACACACCTTTCACACAATGTAGTTATAGACTCTCTTGTGTGTATATATATATATGTGTATGCATAGAATTGCATAGATGTATTCGATGCTATCCCTTGGCTTCTTGAGGCTGACCGAGAGCTCCGTAGGGATGCAGCACTTCGTCCCTTCTCGATCAGGGAGGCAGGGATCGACGAAGGACCGACGAGGATGCGCGAAACGATGCAGCTCACGTCAAACTTCCTATGATCAATTTGAGCTACAGCCAGTTCGCCTGGTGGAACATCCCCATTATATACTATCCAATAAGTCTACTGGGCTTTATGCTATAGGTCTTAGGAGGTCCTGGCAGGTCCTAGCAGGTCCTAGGTCACTTTGATTTTCCACATGGATCATCCCCTAGTAGCGTTCTTGCTCCTAGCAGTAAGGCCAGGAGCCCCTAGTAGCATCCTTGCTCCTAGTAGCGATGCCAGGAGCCCCTAGTAGCATTCTTGCTCCTAGTAGTGATGCCAGGAGCCCCTAGTAGCATCCTTGCTCCTAGTAGTCCATCTTCAACTCAATCCCCTTTGGTGCTTGGCTTCACTGGAAATGTTTTGCTTGAAGGACTCTTTGAATCCTGGAAGGTTCTTTTGGATCCCCTCCATTGTGATGTTTGGGAAGCTTCATGGAGAACTTATTTGATACATTTGCTTCATATCTTGCATTCAGAGCTTGATCATGCAAGTGTATAAGTGGAGGCAGTTGGCAAAACGACATCGTTTCGCCCTTCTCGCACAGAGGGACGACAGACAATTCTGTCTGACTTCCATGGAAGTTGATGGCATGGTTCCTTTAGAAGGCCCATCTTTCCTCTAAGAAGGCCCGAGGCAGGCCCATCTTTCCACAGACGCCCAAGTTTCTCACCCAATTCCTGAGACCTCAAGAGCTCGCAACAAATTTGCCCCAAGTACTTGAGGCTACACTGGGAAGATCAACATGCAACCTGGAAATGGACCAGACTGGAAGATGATTTTCATCTACAACCCGACGTGGGTCGCTTGAGGGGGTGTAATACTCCTCCGATTGGTCCGTCCAAGTGACGATCGGTTCGGCCGCCAGGTGTGTCCTGCACAGTGGGCCCTCGGATGACCGCGAAGGCGGACAGGAAGCGGTTGACCGCGAAATCAGACCTTGGGAGCTAGGATGGAGAAATTCCTCCGTTCTGCGAAGAATCGTTGTCCCGACTTTGGCGGGTGTCGAGACAGTCGAGACATCAATGGACCTGTCGTTCATGTCGAAATCACGATCACAATGTGCCTTCCTAAGTTGCGATGATTACATAATAACTATTTTTGTTACCTTATTTCATATGAATCATGTATGGGTGTGACAGATCTGTGGCATAGAACCCCGAAGAGGATGGCCCCAGCGTGGCTTGACATAGGCTCCTTGTTCAACAGGTCTTGCGCCCGCTAATTTTGGGCTTTTAATAGTTATGGATGTTTGCTGTTGGACTTTCTGGGAATAGCATGAGAGCAGATCAAGGAGGCAAGAACTGCGAGAACTATACTCACTTGCAACTCTATAGACTCTATAGAGGTCTGATCTGCACAGATCATCGAGAGGTATCATCACATCGTGTCCCTGCCGTCGGTTCACTCTCAGAAATCGCTCTGCTACGAGTCGCGCCTACAGTCGCTGCTGCGAGTCACCAAACAGTCGCTGTGATCACAGTGGACACATTTGATGTGGTCGGACCAAAACCTCCCATATGGATGGTCTGTTGGGAAATTACAGACCCACCTACACCCACTGGAAAGGACGAATGTGTTTCTCACTTGTTTGCTGGCCAGTAGAAGTGCATCGAGTAGAAGGGATGTTCTACAGCTTTGGGCCATTTTGGGCCGAAGCTCATCTAGAGATGTTGTTGTTCTTCCTCCATCTCCTACTGGCTCAGGACTTTTGTCTAGACATGCTGCCATGCTTCAAATCTTCCACTTGTTTGGCGCGAGTTTGGCAATATGTCGACTCAAGCAAACAGGAATCGGATGCCACAAATCTATATAAACTGTCAAAAAGACTGAGTGGGGACAGGAGCGACTTCACAGCAGTGCTTTATCATACTGGCTTGACTTCAGAGTGTGCAACTGTGGATGCCTGCCTTTATTTAGACATTCTAAAAGCTACAGCGTGACAATATATATATATATATATCAGGTAGCTGCTGGCTGCCAGCTGGCCTCCAGGACGCACACCCATTTGTTTGGCTGATGATTGAACCTCTTTCACTCCAGAGTCCAGAGAGTGGAGAGATTGTGTATCATTTTGTGGGTCAAGTCGAACTCATCGGTCTGCCGGGACGGCGTCCCGGTCCAAACTCCAGTGGTCGAGAAAGAACGTCCAATGAAAGGTGTTTGAATTAGTGATATTACAGTAGTTAGAGGCAAACGGAAGGGTAGTGCCGTAGTGCACAGAAAGGGTAGTGACCTTCTCCACTTACCCTCCATTTAGCCTTCAATTAGGTTTGTGATCAAAGGTTCAAATTTCAAGAAGACTTTTTCCGGTGAGGCCGGTGTTTTTCCTGGTTGTTCGTTCGATGGGTATTTCCATGGGATTCCTGGCGACCGGTGTTTCCATGTGTTTCCCCTGTTGGTGGAGACTTGGCAACCCACACAGTCTTCGTTGTTGATGGTCTGCAAAGCAGGGGCCATCAGCTGGCGGGTGGCACACAGATCCTTCAGCAGAGATTGTCCAAAGCGCAGACCGCTAAATGCAGACCCCAAAAGGTATAACCCCACAGAACCTTACAGAACCGCACTGAACCCTGGTTTTACTGATGGGTTGACGTTGCTTTTCCCGGATGAATCCTGGATAAATCATGATGATAGTTCTTATCTTCTTGTTGCCAAGATGTGTTTTTTACTGTTTTTTTTGTTAAGTTAATCCACAACAGCAAACCCAAACGCTGCAAGAAACCTAAACGGTGCATTCACCGAAGGCCCATCCGCTTGGTGGGAGTCAGTTGGGTTCAACTGTGACCGTTGTGGAGTTTGGTCAGATGACCCCGTGGAGTTGAAGATCAAGCCGCATGAAGCTACATTTGATGGACCACCCATCCGATATCCCTCTTTCAAATATCGTTGGGTTGCGTCAGACACCCCAACTAAATGGTGAAATCCGATATCGTATTCAGCGCTGGAGCCACCCTTGTGGGAAACTCCAGTGTTTGTGACGTGCTGAAGGCTCGCTGATGCCTTGATCCTTCCGGAATTGGAGCTCTTAAGCTTCTAGAAGTTTTATCTTCAATCGTGCGCTCAGGTGGTTTGACAGCTTAACTTGGAGATCTGCCCGAAAGCAATCTGGGACCACCTTGTTTGTCGACATGGGATCTAGGTTTCTGGCTTAAACCGAGTGTTTTCCCAGAGGCAGCCCCAATCCCGCACTAGTGATCTAGTAAGTGATGTCACCAAATGAGATCCACTCATAGGATCAGTATGTGGTCCATGGTGATATCAGATATCCTGATCACTCCAATGGAGACCAACTGGCTTGGTCGAGCTATCATTTTGCTTTGTTCTTGGATCGCCTTCCTTGGAGCCTCTTGGTCGTCTTTGTCTTACATAGCTTCATCACCTGGACATGTTTCATCACATAATGTTTCCTTTAGAACCTGTGGTGCTTTGACACATCCCAAGTACGTGCCCAAGCACCACAGGGGAGTTGTTTCTCGGAAAAGCCTCTTTGAAGATTGCCTTGGTCGCACGATCGAGCTTGGAATTCGAGTGATCGAGTGCTTGACGCAACAAAAGTCTGGTGCTGCGAGGGGGGGCGGCACGGCGAGTGTGCGGAGCGAGTGTGCGCAGAGTATTAGCTGAAAGCAACTCCAGGTTCTCACAACATAGCTGAAAGCAGGGTCATTTCTTTTAGCAGACTATTTTTGGCTGCTGGTTCAGTCTTTGTGAGCGTAAGGGTCCCCTGAATTCCACCGACAAGGTCCATGAGCTTGTAAACGCATGTCGAAGTCAGGAGGTTGTAGCCCATGGTAGCCCCAAAATGGTACCTGGTCCCGTGCTTAGCACGAGTGTGCGGTTATTCCTTTTTATATTTTTGAACATGATCACATCGAAAACACATCATTTGATTAGAAACAATTATCTTAAAGAGTCACGTCCCTTTTTTCAGAGTACGGAGGTCCAGATCAAATCAGGCAGACCCACCATAGCGACAAAGACAGGCCCTGCAGGTTCAAGCAAATGAATACACTTCAGTTCAGGTAGCTGAATCAGCTGATTTCTTATTGTAGAGAGTAAACTTAATGTAATCACCGAACCACTCTTTTGGATCGGCACGACAGGTTTTTCTGTTCTTTTGAACTTCCATGAGTTGTCTGTGGCGTGAAAACGTCAGTGCACATGACACCCCCGATTGACCGTAGAATCAAAAAGGCTCCCCAGACATCCAGATATCCCAAAATCCATCGTGGCTGAGGTGGATGATGGATGATGGATGGAGGGGTGGATGGCAACCTGAGGATGGATCCAGTTGGCCTTAAGGATGGCAATCCTTGGGGTGGATGGGGATGGGAGGCCATTGGCCTTAATTCTTCGAGCCCTATGACGACCACTCGACTCTCGCGTCTCAACATTGGGGCTCAAGGGTCTCATTCGGTCCGACCAGGCGTTGGCGGCCCGCGCAAGGCGGTGGCTTTGCTTTGCGTATGACCAAACCTTGGCACTGTGTATGACCACATCGTAGATCCTTATGCTGCTGGTGGGAGAAAAGCACGGTTTAGGCACATTGGGCCTTGTGCCTAATGATTCCCTTGCCAGCGGACGGGAGAATGAATTAGAGGACTTCACAGGTCTGTAGATTGACAGTCTGTATATAGCATCTTGAGTTGCAACTCCAGTGGTCGTACAGAATGGGAGTCTGACAGCTCCTTTCACTATTTTCGTTAGGACCCTTTTGCGCCGCCTTTCAATCGGTTGAGGCGGGACTCTTGACCTCATGGGGCGAGGCTTGCCTCCCTTGACGCCAGATGAGAGCCCAAGGCCAGAGCCCATGTGATTGCTTCGTTGGGAAACCACCACTCTGTGGAGTTTGGTATTCGATGGATTGCCTGGGGCAAGTCCCTTGGACGGTTCCTGTGGAGTTCCAAGTCCTGCCTATATGGTAACATTTGGACTTTAAGTATTGAATGAGTTTGGAGAGGTGAACTCACATGAACTCACGATGAACCACCATCTAAACCTTAAGGTCGATGGTCTCCGAATCCTGCTTTCACCACCTTCCGATGTAAACAATCACGTTCCATTTGAAAACAACTGGCAACGTTGGGTTAGTAACAAGGGCATTTCTACTAGTAGAAGAAGCTACTAGAGGCCATCGCTACTAGTAGCAAGAAGCTATATACTAGTAATCTACACGGTGAAGTAGCCTTAGCTGGGTGCCCCTAGGCGCAGCCTCCGAAGCTTGCAGTCTCGTCACTTTTCTCCCCTGGAGATGGCGAGCATATGCGAGCATCAATCGACAGAACATGAAGACCAACCGTTCCGTGAGTGAATGGAAGACCGGTTTACTTCATGCATGAATAATTGATGGGTGTGCCTGTCATGCTTATGAGCTTTTCTATGGCAACTTGGTCGTGTCCTCTAGCGATGTTGCTACAAAGGAGACAAAGGATAGGGAAGGAGCTTGTGCGTGTTAGGATCGTCTCATCACATATTGTCACAGTTATTTGACAATATTTGACAATGAAGGTGACCTTTCTACCATTGCTGGGGTGTTCATGATGTTCCCTGATTGGTGGGAGATACCTAAGGTCTATGCTTGACAACACCTGCAAGCAAAAATCATGTGTTTTTGGTGTACCATGGAGCGGCTTTGCAGGCAAAGAATGCCCAAGACCACCTTGCCTTCCATCTATCCACCAGATGAGGCCCGGAGAGACATACAGAAGGGATCGCAATGGCCCGAACTCGACCGAGCCTCTGTTTTGCCATGCAGAATCAGAGGCCTCAGGCCTTCGTTCCTGGCGAAACCAGGACACCCTGGATGGTCCCCGAAAGCGGAGTTCAGGTCACACGACGCCAAGTGACGGCAAAAACCGGAACATGAGCTACGAGCATGGCCCGCAAAATTGATATCGATGGTTTAGTAATTGGTGGGGATGGGGATTGTTTAATATTAAGATAAAGATGTATTCAGACCCTGAAGGCGAGATTTCATTTGCCATCTTTTGCCACTAATCCTTTTCTCGAGATCGAGAGACTCCGATGTTTGGTGAACCCCACGACTCACCACG